TAATAAATAAATAGTAGAGTTTATGATCCAACCTTAAAAGTCCCCTGCTGAACATTGATTTCCTCCTGTTTCCAAACCCATCTATTCTTCATTGCTCTTTACACGATGGAGCTTGTTTGTGCTAATCTATTTTTTCTCTTGTTTCGAATTATTATTTTGACCAATATAGGGTGATCAAAATAATTAATTAAACATGAGATGAATTATATCAATTACAATTAGATCAGAGGATTCATATTCCAACCCAAAAAGTCCACTGCTGAACATAGACTAGAACATAGACCCGTATATTCTTCATTGCTTTTTACACTATGGATCTTGTTTGTCCCAATCTATTTTATCTCTTGTTTTGAATTATTATTTTGACAAATATAGGGTGAATAAAATAATTAAACATGAGATGAATTATATCAATTACAATTAGATCAGAGGATTCATATTCCGACCCAGAAAGTCCACTGCTGAACATCGACCTCCTCGTGTTTCCAAACCCGTCTATTCTTGAATTATTATTTTGACAAATATAGGGTGATTAAAATAATTAAACATGAGATGAATTATATCAATTACAAATAGATCAGAGGGTTCATATTCGGACTCAAAAAGTCCACTGCTGAACATAGACCTCCTCATGATTCCAAACCCATCTGTTCTTCATCGCTCTTATACAGTTGTTAGTTCATCTTGTACTGTCGATTTCCATTCTAGCTATATGCCCGATCCATTTTAGTCTGACTGCCATTTCGATAATATTAGTCACTTTAATTCTTCTTCTGCTTCGTTTAGGTTTGCTAGTATGATCCATTAGTAGATATACTACCTATATCTGAGCGCAACCCCTAAATCGCAACCCCTAAAATCGCAACCCCCGGTTGCAAATGCCAAACGGCTTAACGTAGGATGACGTACGAGGGCTCGTTGGAAAGGGGATGAAAAATGGGGTTGAATGCAGTATGTGCCGTGCGCATCGGAGCATGTCAAAAGGTCATTACGTCATATCTTCGTTTCTATTGGTCCGATCGTGACGTACGAGGGCTCGTTGGAACGGGGAGGAGACGGTGAATACTTTGACACAAAAAACAAAGATGGCAGCATTGCCAATGGGCGCTAGAATGTATCTTCGTTGCTATTGGTCCGATCATGACGTACAAGGGGTCGTTGGAAAGGGGATGAAAAATGGGGTTGAACGCAGTATGTGCCGTGCGCATCGGAGCATGCCAAAAGGTAATTATTAGGTATCTTTGTTTCTATTGGTCCGATCGTGAAGTATGAGGGCTCGTTGAAACGGGGAGGAGACGGGGAATACTTTGACACAAAAAACACAGATGGCAGCATTGCCAAATGGGCGCTAGAACGTATCTTCGTTGCTATTGGCATGATTTTGACGTATGAGGTGTCAAATGAAAGCGTTGGTGACACATACACACACACAGAAGCCATTTCAACGATCAGTATGAACATTCTTCTTCTTTTTGTCCGTACAGTGCCTAAGAGAACGTCAACGTAGAACGTGACATTCGATGCAGAACGTGGAATGGCGTGACATTCAACGCAGGACGTGACATTCGACGTAGAACGTGAAATGTCACGTGACATTCGACGCAGGACGTGACATTCGACGCAGGACGTGACATTCGACATAGAACGTGAAATGACGTGACATGCAATGCAGAATGTAACAGGGTGTCAAAGAGATCTTATACATAGAACTTTATTAAATCAGACATCACAATGTAAGTCATCATTTAAAATCCTTTAATTTGATGGGTCATACGTCGATTTCCGCTTATCCGTTCAAAAGATATATAGTAAGGTGTCATAACGGCCGTTGTGATAACGTGGTCTAACTATAAATGCTTATTTCATGTTAATGACGGTAAAACAAAACCATTGGCATAGAAACATCTCTTATCGCAGTTTGATCTCTAGCAAACCCTAACTCGCTCAAATTTGCACCAAGTGCTCCGTGCAGTATACCATTAGAAAGGTAGTTTTATGTATATTACGAAAATTACCAACCAAGCGCGATACGATCATTATTTATGGTTTATCTAGAAACTTGACATATATAACGTGACATTCTACGTAGAACATATTCAGTAGTAATGCGTAGGAGAAATAAACATATCTTTCATTAAAATATCTTTTATTATTGAGTTACATATAGATACAAGTTATATACAACACTGAAACTTTAATCAAAGCGGCTTTCGTACCGGGAGATCCTGCCTTGATAATATATTTATCCTACGACAAATAATTGAAAAGCGTGTCGAAAGAAGTAGAGAGACCCATTTGGTATTTATAGACCTTGAGAAAGCATATGATAGTGTCCCGTTAAAGAAAATGTTTGAGGTCCTCAAAAGGTCTTGATTAGATTCGACGTATATCCGAGCGATATATAAACTGTACGAAAATGCAGTTAGTTGTGTAAAAATTGGAACCAGAACCTCAAATGAATTTAAAGTCACTAAAGGCCTAAAGCAAGGATGCTGTTTGTCACCGACACTCTTTAAAATATACGTCCAAGAAGCATTGAGGAATTGGAGAAATAAATGTAGATTTATGGGCATCGAAGTGGGACAAGAAACTCTGTATACATTGTTGTTTGCAGATGATCAGGTGGTGGTTGCAACCGATGAGGAAGATATAAATTATATGAATCGAAAATTATTTGAGGAATATGCCAAATGGGGGCTTACTGTAAACATAAGCAAAACAGAATATTTAAAAATTGGAGAAAATACCACAGATCTGAGGCTTGAAAACGCAGTCATAAAAGGCTGCAACCAGTATAAATATCTAGGAAGCATCATATCAGCAGATTGCAGAGTTAAGATAGATGTACAAAACCGAATAACCCAAGGGAAAAAATGCATCCGAATACTGAATTCATTACTGTGGTCTAATAAAATAAAGATGCATACCAAACTTCGCGTATACAGAGCAATTGTAGAACCAATTACCACATATGGTGCCGAATGTTGGACGATGACAAAGAATGAACGAGATAAAGTAGACGTTGTGGAAATGGATTATCTTAGAAGGTCATGTCGAGTATCGAGAATGGAAAGAATCAGGAATGAGGAAATACGAAACCGTACAGGAATTAGAGATACTCTTTCAGATAGAATACAAGGAAGGCAATTACAATGGTATGGTCACGTGATGAGAATGGAGGAGGAGCGGTGGCCAAAGAAAGCCTTAATGTATGTTCCGCCAGAAAGAAGGAAAAGGGGAAGACCACCAAATTCATGGAGAAGAGAAATTACAAAAACAATGCAATCTAGAGGCTTAGAAGAGAGAGATTGGGGAGATAGGAAAAGATGGAGGCTGAAATGCGGGAAGCGGCAATCGCCGTAGGACCCCCGTTATATGATGATGATGATGAAACTTTAATATTAAAAAAAGACATAGACATGTATAAGTATTGTTTATTTACATTAGTTCCAAAAGCACTTCTTTATAATCTTCCTCCATCTTTAGTAAGCGATTAGGATATGCCAGCCAAAATCGTCCCTTTTTCACAAAACCTAGTAATTCCAGTAGCGTTTTATTAAGGTAACCTCTATTCAAATATCGTATAAGGGTATTTCGTCGATCAGTAGTTTTAATTATGTGATGTAATTTAATTTGAACGTCGTCTGTTAATGCCTCAATTTGCGTTTTTATGTGTAAAAGTCGTTCTTCTCTAAGTATTCGTTCTGCTTCCAATCTCCTTTGATCTTCAATTCGCAGGTTTGTCAATTGTTCTTTACATGTTTCACATAATATGTACCTAGTCCTAGTATCGATCCAATCGTTCATTTCGAATAGTTCTATGCAACCGCAAGGTTTTATAGTTTCACTTATTGTCTCATAAGGCATTGTGTCTCCTAACCAGAGGAATAAATGTAAGAGACTTCTGAAGAGGTATCCCAAACGTTTAAGAAAAGAACTAGCATACTCCAGAGTGCTATGCTCTGCACACACAGATACAGAGAGCAACAATAAGGCATGTAAACAGACCAGCACTTTGATTTATACTAATTTCCAAAAAATTGTTAATACAGTTATTTATACAAACATCCAAACACACACATCTTCTGACTTAAGAAGTTTTTGTGTAATATTAACCGTATTTTTATAAAGCATATTATATTATATGGATAAAATTAGTATTAATTAAAGAATTGAAATTATATACAGAAGGCAGTTTGGGCAATATTATGTTTTGTAGGTTTGTCTTGTGCTTCGGATCTCTAGTAAGAAATAGTTACATAGACTGTACTCGTAAAATATGTTTGCAAGTTAAATGGTCTCGTCCAACAGTACTTGATCCTAACCGTAAATATGATCGGCTATATGTATATGGTTTTCCGATGACTAAACGATCTTTCTAACTATTCTTTAAAGGTGTATTTTTCACTACTTATTATTTAACATTTTAAGTCGTAAATGTATTGCAGTTTCGCTAAAAAACTCTTTATTCTTTACAATTATAACATAATATTTCTTAAAAACATATCTTTTACACTTTTAATTATATACAGATACAAGTTTAGATATTAGTTTTTAATTGTTGTAAGATATTTTCGTTTGGACAAGGCACTTCAAAAAGATTCCAATTAAATGATCCTGCTGCAATAACTTTTCTCCAAAAATTGTTAATACAGTTATTTATACAAAAATCCACGGCACTAAGCTTGAAACGTCTAAAAAACTCAACGTACAACAACGAGCAAGGTATCGATGGAAAGTGGCGGTGAGAACTAATATGTTAAGATAAAAATCAAACGTAAAGACATTGCCAAAGGACACTAAGTTTGTAACGCCCAAACAACTCAACGTACGACAACGTGCAAGGTATCGATAGAAAAGGGAGGTGGTAATAATTATGTTAAGATAAAAATCTAACGAAAAGACATTGCTAAAAGGACACTAAGCTTAAAACGTCTAAACAACTCAACGTAAGACAACGTGCAAGGTATTGATGAATAAGGGAGATTGTAACGAATATGTTAAGATAAAAATAAAGCGCAAAGACATTGCCTAAAAGACACTAAGCTTGAAATGTCTAAACAACTTAACATACGACAACGTGCAAGGTATCGATGGAAAGTGGCGGTGAGAACGAATATGTTCAACAAATCAAACGTAAAGACATTGCCAAAGGACACTAAGTTTGTAACGTCCAAACAACTCAACGTACGACAACGTGCAAGGTATCGATGGAAATCGTAGGTGGTAATGAATGTGTTAAAATTAAAAAAAGGCAAAGACAATGCCAAAACTGCATTAAGCTTGAAACGTTCAAACGGTTCAACGTGCAAGGTATTAATTGATAAGGGAGGTTGTAACGAATATGTTAAGATAAAAATAAAGCGTAAAGACATTGTCCAAAGGACACTAAGCTTGAAACGTCTAAACAACTTAACGTACGACAACGTGTAAGGTATCTATGGAAAGGGAAGGTGAGAACGAATATGTTAAGATAAAAAGCAAACGCAAAGACAACGGTACTAAGCTTGAAACGTCTAAACAACTCAACGTACGACAATGTGCAAGGTCTCGATGGAAAGGGTAGGTGTTATTAAATATGTTAAGATAAAAAGCAAACGCAAAAACAATGCCAAAATGGCAATAAGCTTGAAACGTCTAAACAACTCAACGTACGACAACGTGGAAGGTATCGATAGAAAGGGGAGGTGGTAATGAATATGTTAAAGTCAAAATCAAACGTACAGACCAAAAGGACACTAAGCTTGTAAGTCTAAACGGCTCAACGTACAATAGCGTGCAAGTGGTAGAAATGCAAATATCGATAGAAAGGGGGTGGTCACGAACATGTTAAAACAAAACACAAATGCATAAACATTGCCAAAACTACACTACAGCAAATCTCTGTTGTTATTAGTCAGATTACTACGTGTAACACGTTAACTGAAAGAGGACCGATATTTAATACGTAAACACAAAAAACAAAAGACAAAGACATTGTCAAAACGGCACTATATCGGATCTTTGTTGCTACTAATCGGATATAGAAAATAATAATCAAAGCAGTCTACATGCAAACATTAAAAAACATCGAAAATCATGAGCGACAACACGTAATAAAAATACTTTAAAAAACATCAAAAATCATGAAAGGCAACACGCAAAAAATAATAAAAACATACAGCCAAGAAAATAATACTCACAAGCAGTACACATCAAAGAAAATACGGTTAAAATACATACTCAATTATGCAAACGAGACATGAACCTGTAAATTAGCAACAAAGAATTGTAAAAACGTAGCGAGTACATACCCAGACAGGCGTAATCTTTGGAAAAAAAAAACGAGAGACAACCAAACAAAAATTTGTGAAATATGCTCAAATACAACAAAACTATGTTAAATACTGTCAAAATAAATACCTGCAAAGAAAAATGAACAAAGTATAGCGTGAACAATGATAAAATATAATAAACTATGTAAACTACAGTAAAAAAAAATCCCTACAAAGAAAGAAGAAGCAAAAAAAATAACATAAAACATAACAGAAGAGGTACTACTGTGTACAACAATTAAAAAAAAAGTAATAAACACGTACTGAGAGCTAGCAAATAATGTTCAAATAAAATCGACATACAATGAAGTAATAAAACACTTATCGATGGATAGGAACCAATGATCAAAGCAGTCGACATACAGTAAAAAATACATTTGAAAAACATCAAACTTATAAGAGGAGACACGCAAAAAGTAATAAGCACCAATCGACTAATAGGAAATAATGATCAAAGCAGGTGACATGCAATGAAAATACATTAAAAAATATCAAAATTATAAGAGGAAACATACAAAACAGTAATAAACACCTACCCGTCGGAAAGGTAATAAAATACAGTTAATACAATAAAACATATTGAATTATGCTAAAAACGAGACATGAGACAGACAATTAGCGACAAATAGCAAAGAACATCATAAAACGTTTACAAATACCTGAGTACATATCCGATAGATGTAATCGTTGGAAAAACGAGACAAAAAGAAGGAACTTCTGTGAAATATGTTAAAATACAATAAAACTATATAAACTACAGTTAAAAAATAATTACCTACAAAGAAATAAACGAATATATATATATATATATATATATATATATATATATATATATATATATATAAAATATATTAAAAAAAAGCAAAGGGCAAGCCGCCTAAACACAATAACAATAAAATGAATAATTAAAAATAATTATTTCTAGCAGCCGTAAAAAGAAATAATGCATAAAGTCAACGAAATACCGTGAAAAATACATGAAAAGTCATCAAAAACATACACACAAAATGTAAAAAAAAAATAGAAAAAAGCAATTTAACATGTAATTGTAGCAATAAAAAACATCAAAAAGGACAAGAGGTGTTTTTATAAACAGAAATTACTTGTCACCATCTGACGGCAAAAGAAATTAGTGCATAAGTCGTCGAAATACAGTGAACCACACAGAAATATCTACCAAAATACTGCTAAGGATAAAGATAAAAACAGTGCCAAAATACTAAAGTAGAACTAGACGTTCTTTGGAAAAAATAAGACAACCGAACGAAAATCTGTGAACTATGCTCAAATACAATAAACTTATGTAAACTGCTGTCGCAAATAAAGAACTGCAAAGAAATAAACAAATATACAGGAGTGATATAAAAAATAATAAAAACTACATGTAAATTATTGTCAAAAATAAACACCTGCAAGGAAAAGAAGCAAAATCTAAAGTAAAAAAGAAATGCTGAAATATAATAAAAATATTTAAAATAAAGTCACAAAACAGTATTTGCGAAAACACTCACACTACGGCTGCGGAAGCTTAGATATTGTCTATGTACAGAAACAGTAGACACACTAACAGTGGATGTATGTTGCAGATGCTACAGACTCTGTCACTGTAGTGTCACACGCCGTTTGTACCGTTAAATATCACAGAATACTAGCGGTGTGAAACAATATAGTTTCTGAAGGATACGACGTTTAATTTTGATGACTGAACACTTACATACTGATTTGACTGTACAACCAAGTGCTTCAAGCCCATGCATTGATAACAAAAAACCGATTACTTGAAAAAACACATAAACATGTTTACTATTTTGGCGAATTTTCTAGGCTGGGATTATGAACAAATAATGGATCACACAATATTCTTTTAATCTAAATCAAAAATAGTCTCAATACAAGCAAAAATAATAGTGTATAAAATAATAATTCGTCCCACAATAACGTATGGAAGCGAGACATGGACTCTGAACCAGCGGGAAACGACAAAATTACTGGTACTGGAAAGAAAGATACTGCGGACTATCTATGGGCCTTGCAGAGAAGAGACAACAGGAGAATGGAGAAGAAGACACAATGATGAACTCCAGACAGTTTGTGAAGATGAAAATATAGTACGCTACATTAAAGCAAACCGAATAAGATGGGCGGGCTATGTACTAAGATCGAGTGACGAAAGACTCCTGAACGCCACGTTCTGGGAAAGGCCCGATGGCAGAAGGTCAGTTGGTCGCCCAAGAAAGAGATGGAGTAGCCAGTGATCTACGCAAAATGGGAATACAGCAATGGAAAATAGCCTTGTCGGAAATACCGACAACAATGGAGGGAAATAGTAAACGCGGCCAAGACTCACATAGAGTTGTAGAGCCAAATGATGATGATGATGATTATGACAATATTCTTTCAGGAATTGCGGTTTTCGATCTAACCACGAGACTGTAAGAAAACAATAACTAGTAATGTACTACACAAAAACAATTAAATTTATCATCTGTAGTTTCAAATGAAATTAGGAAATAACAATTACCTAAATATGCCAAATAGCCAATAAGGCCTGTCGTTCGATAGACCCAATAATATGTTATTTTCATTGGCAAAAAAAAATCAACTGAATCGACTGCTTTGACAAAACAAAAAAAATATGTGTAATAGAACCACTGAAAGACCAAAAGACCGATATTATCGGTCAACAAAACCAATAGTGATCGATAGGGTCTGTGACAAGCAAACGCAAGGACAATGCCAAAACAGCACTAAGCTTGAAACGTCCAAACGGCTTAACACCCAACAACGTGCAAGGTATCGATGGAACGGGGAGGTGGTAACGTATATGTTAAGATAAAAATAAAACGCAAAGATATTGAAAAAACGGTACTAAGCTTGTAAAGTCCAAATGGCTCAACGTACAACAATCTGCTACTAAATGACATCGACAAATAGAATACCATTTTACGTTAGGAGCATATACTAGAAGAGCAAAGTCACTCTCATTTAAGATTAAATGATACCATCCTCTTGGTGACTCTTCGTAATCATTTACCATCTAAATAGATGGTAAATGTATTAGGTTAGATGATCTCTGCGTACCTCTGTCTACGTGTTACAGATGATTCTGTGTGCCACTGCATGTCTCTGCGTACCTCTGTCTACGTATCACAGATGGCTCTGTGTGTCTCTGCGTCGAATATCACATCATTCATGTTATTTCACGTGACATTTCACGTGAAATGTCACGTCCTGCGTCGAATGTCACGTGATTCATGTAAACGTTAAATGTCACGTTATAAACGTCACATTTTGACGTGAAGACGTCACGCGTCACGTTAAAACGTCACGCACCACGTCAAAAACGTCACGTTTTAAAGTCAACACGTCACACCTTACATATGGATAACATGGGAGTAAAGCGTCTTTTCGTCTCTTGAGTAAAGTTAGCTATGGTTGAGCGATGGTTAATTTATTAGGTTAGGTCGTATATGTCAAGTTTCTAGATAAATCATAAATAATGATCGTATCGCGCTTGGTTGGTAATTTTCGTAATATACATAAAACTACCTTTCTAATGGTATACTGCACGGAGCACTTGGTGCAAATTTGAGCGAGTTAGGGTTTGCTAGAGATCAAACTGCGATAAGAGATGTTTCTATGCCAATGGTTTTGTTTTACCGTCATTAACATGAAATAAGCATTTATAGTTAGACCAAGTTATCACAACGGCCGTTATGACACCTTACTATATATCTTTTGAACGGATAAGCGGAAATCGACGTATGACCCATCAAATTAAAGGATTTTAAATGATGACTTACATTGTGATGTCTGATTTAATAAAGTTCTATGTATAAGATCTCTTTGACACCCTGTTACATTCTGCATTGCATGTCACGTCATTTCACGTTCTATGTCGAATGTCACGTCCTGCGTCGAATGTCACGTCATTTCGCGTGACATTTCACCTTCTACGTCGAATGTCACGTTCTACGTCGAATGTCACGTGACATTTCACGTCCTGCGTCGAATGTCACGTTCTTCGTCGAATGTCACGTTCTACGTCGAATGTCAAGTCC